ACCAAATAAAGGGTCATGAAAATAATCTTGTTTTTGATTCAAATGAAAGAATTCAACTGCGCTTTATCAAGATTTTACTTATCAGAACAATAACAAGAAACAAGAAAAGAGTTATCCTAATTTGATAAGGTAGACTTTCTTTTTCTGCTGAACAACAATAATTTTAATGTGCCTAAAGCTCCTGTGAGGAACTTTTGGATTGTATGGATCTTGGCAAATCCTGTGGATGAAAGTGGGACTATTTATCTCTTTGTTGATCTTGTCCTGTACATGAATTTGTTGGTTTTTCTGAGAGAAAAAAAAACATTGACTCTTTATTTATTTGATTTTTTTCTTTATAGTGAGTGATGTTAATTGCCTTGTCTGACACCTACCTGCACCCAGCAGGGGTGACAGGCATATAAAATAACCATAAAGAGATGATCATTCTTCTCTCTGATGGTCTTGTTTGCTTTTAAAGGGTGATATAGAGGCATCATTCTTCATAACCAGCTTTAAACTCCTCATATAGGAGATTTAAATTGCCGTTTTGCTCCTTTATAAAAAAGATGATTTACTGCTGTTGAGCAAAATGTATAATGTGGCTGAACTGTCTTTTGGATCCAATTTGCAAATGCATGAAGAGGGATTTCTTTGTTTGGGGTCTTTTATTACCACTCCAAGATTCAAATGTTTGTGTCTTGAGGATATTAATTAGCCAAGCCGGTCTTTGGAAGTGTCATCAGATGATCTGTATTTGGATAATGAACTGGCCATCAGCACCTGTGGGAAAAGCCATAAAGTAGGAGCCAGATGGGACCTCTTTACCCTCCACTGGAGAGCCAGACACACAGCGAGTGTGCCTGACACTGAAGGATTTTAATCACACAGAGGCTTCCAAAATGCTCTCTACCAGCAGGTGGCAGTGTGTCACAGTGACAGTCATTGAGGCCTAGAGAGAGTTAGCGCTCTGGTGTAAGGACTCCAGCTACAAGGGACAGTATTGAATGAGGAATAGCTCTCTTTTAAACAAGCAGGTGAATTATGCTACCTAACAAAGCATGACGCCATTTCTGTCCTGGTTTGAAATCAAATCTTTGAAAACCATCTAATGCCTCTTCTCTTTTCTTCCTCTACATTTAAGAGCCTTTCATTGAGGTTGCTTTCGAAAAATATCTCTTGGGGCAGAGATTTGATCAGAATAAAAGGAAGATAAAATATTGATGTTGTTCTAATTTTGTTATCCTGGATGGTAAATAATTGATGTTGAGGGAAGAGGGGGGTTGTTTTATTTGCAAGCCCCTTTGCTGATTTATTGAAGGGTTATCATGCGTGCTATGAGTCCAGGGCTTTCTGTCAGAGGTTCAGAGAGTGGGATGAAACCGTTCCCGAGGGACTATTAAAGACAATTGATCGCACATTTATCTTGTCACTGCACCTTGATGTTTCAATTCACAACCAAAGTTGATGGAGACTAATCTGTTATATATAATTGCTTTGCTTAATCACAACTGTTTATCTAAAATGTCATGCACGTCAATACATCTTAGTAGGCCACATTCACTTGTTATTTGATGCAAATTTTCCATATGCTGCAAATTAGCATCCGCTCATTTTTCTTATTTTAGTGCTTGCCAGTCTGGATGCAGCATCTGTGAGCCTACTAGGAATTGGTGCTCACATAGTGCTGTGACATAACACAGATGAGTCTGACACAGATGCTTTTCCAGCAAATGCAAAAGTGGCGGCCTTGTTTTTATGACTGATTAAATTCCTGTGAAATCACACATGCAGAACAAGGCCAACTTTAAACTAATTGATGGTGGATTGTGAGCTTTGTTGTCAAACACCACCACAGTGTGAATGCTGGAGCAGTGAGTTTTTTTTAATGTATTTTTCAAAGGTCTGCAAGCCATGTTACTGTTCCCTAAGACAGATGTTGTGAGGGTGTATAAAGTGTTCATGACAAGGAGCCTTGTTTCCTGTTGTGCAGCAGCACCGTGGGCACAAGCAACTTGTTTATTCATGACGCCAGATCAGAGCCCAGGTAGATCAAACCGCCTCTCTATTTTTAACGAAAAAGGCTCTTTACTGGGACATAAATACCAACCCAAGCATTTTCCCATCAGCCTGCCCTGGTGCAGGAACAGGGAGTCTTTGGGGGATTGGAAGGTCAGTATCAAAGGTTCTCCTAGTATACAGAGTGAAGTATTGACCTGAAACATGTTAGAAACAAACCATCCTTAGCAATTATTGATCCAAATGGAGGCATTTTACAAGAGGAGACAAGTGAAGATACAAAAGTGTGCAATCGCTTTCACTCCGATATAACTTTGCATGATTGCAACACATCGCTTTTCCTGAAAATTCTCCTTGAAAATGTGCCCCAAACAAAATATACTGCTGTTTCACAAAATGTAAGGTTGGCACACGCTGAACCTGAGCTGTTTTTTTTTTTATTGCAGCATGAGGATATTAAGTCTCTCTCCTTCTTTCAGGATCTGCGGTTAGCACCAACGTTAGCCTCAAGGGCAGGAGGTCCCTTCAGGGAAAGGTCACCTCTGCTGTTCTAAGAGAAATACACCTCTCCAGTATTTCATTTCCTTTTATTTTATCTGATGTCTCCTCTAACTTGATATCACATCCTTTCCCTAGACGAAGCGTCTTTGCCCAGGAAACCAAACCAATATGATAAAAATAACATAGCAGACTTGATAATAGTGCTATACTGTTTGTAAAATATACTGTATATTGAACCAAACTATTGATTTATATAAGCTGTCTGCTCAGCACTATATCACAAAAAATGTGCACATATTCAGTTCATTTCTGCTGTATGGATTCATTCTGGGCAAGTTTTATCTGCACGAGCAGACTGACGTGATTTTGTTGACAACTCTGTTGGCACTTCATTGATAACACAAGAGTGTGCAGTTCTTGCTAGGACTAGGTCTATTCGGCTTTTATATGGCACCAGATATCAAAAGAATTCTTACATGGTGAAAAGAGAAATGGGTCGTTGGAGCTGTGACGACTCTCAACTGTTATCTCACTTCCGTAATGAGAAGTCTGATAGCCAAGCTGCAGCAAGGTACCCACAGAAAAAGGGTTTCAGTGTTCTGTGCTCTAAAAATGCTGAGCCCTCAAGAGAACTAAATAGTTAGAAAATTACCAATTTATCATTCTTTTGAGTACGGGATACAGGAACTGGGTTGATGGGTGTACCTGAGTGTTTCCTAGACCTACAAGAAGTTCTTTGTTTATGGGAATGATAAACAGTTTTTTGACTACTCAAAGCGCTTTTACACAGCGGGTCACACCTACAGTACCCATTCACACCCATTCACACACTGATGGCAGAAGCTGCTATGTGAAGTGTCCATCAGAAGTAACTAGTCCCATTCGTTCACATTTATGTACCACCGATGAAGCAGTGGGAGCCACTTGGGGTTAAGTGTCTTGCCCAATGACACATCGGACATTTAGTTGCAGGAGCTGGGGATCGAACCCCCGACCTTCCAGTTAGAAGACGACCGACTCTACCAACTGAGGTGGTGTTGTTAGAAGCCAAAGAACTGTAGGTACAAGGTACAATAATATTTCATTGGTTATGCTGAGAAGCGATGCCTGCGGAAAATTGCAACCACCTTGCGGGACAATGTAAAATATGGCAGATAAAATTTGTATGCTGCCGTATTTTGCATCCAAAGTTCCTCTATAGAACTTCAGAGTCAAACACTGTTTGCAGTTCATATTTACGCAGGCCAAAGAAAATGCATACCTTACCAAGACAATAAGGACACTTTACTCATAATAAGTATACACACTTTGTCATCGGAGATCTGCCCCATAAATAAGAGTTATATTGTTTTAAAACTGCAATGCATACAATATTATGCACCTCGGGAATTCATATTTATTTATTTTCAAGCCTGGAGCATAACTTTGGTTATATGACTTTCTGAATCTGGTGAAGTTGCTAAAACATGAGAAATAACAATGCAGCCTAACATTATGTTACAAGTTATGAATAACATCTGCAGGGATGTATACTCGGCTTCTTGCCTGGTTGCTCACTCTTTTTCTCTTCTTAGATTAATACGTCACCGTTTTCTTCCCTTTCTCAGCCTCAGTTATTATGTCAAACAGTATCGAGACGTGCTTATTGGCTAATGCCGTAAAGGCGTATTCACAAGAGGATCACCAAACATACAGAGTGCTGTAAGCAGGCGACCGGGGTGATCTGTGCACATGGGAGAGAGGCTATTTTCCCGTTTGGAAGTTGTTGCACTATGAGATTGACTTTGAAAAGAATGATTTTAAGGTGGAAAGGTTACATATTGTTGCTTTGAACATGCATTTTCAGATGTAAATTTTTCTTTGTGGACACTCAGGGGCAGCGGACAAAGCTGTAATCACTGACATTTCACCGCAGACACATTAGCGAAATGATCATTCATTTAAAGGCATTCTTCTGTCCACCAGATAATTATGTGCAAACATTCACTCTTATTCTAGCTCTCTTTTGTTCTGCAACAACTCTTCAACGAAATATCTGCCTCCAAGCCGCTAAATGTTTATATTGCATTGCTAACAAGCAACCAGCATCTGCACAAATCATGCATCTACAAGCAGATGCATGACATTCACTTGAATTTCATTAACCACTGAATATTTCACCAGAAGACAGAAACAACACGCTGAAAGATGCAAACCACAGAGCAAGGGGAACTATCTTTTCAGTGGGTCTGCTGTATGTAGCATCTCCTGTAATAAACACGTTGTCATTTGATCTGTTATCGGTTTTAAAGTATTGATTGTAGTCTCTTTAAAGTAAATGTAAGAGGGCACTAGGAATTTGTATTGATGTTGCCATCCTGTCTCTTAAATTGGTTTCCTAATTGTGTTGTGTTGACAAATGTAGTGGCTACAGTGCACTCTACATTTACACCATAAAAGAAACTGCATGAATATGGTTGTAGTTAATAGTGAGCATACAAAACTCAGGACAGAGACCTAAATGTTTTCTTTACCTTAACTAAAATGTTCTTCTTGTATACAACCATTAAAAGATAACAATACATTTGGTATGTAACACAACATGATCAAGCTGGGATTACAACATTTCCAACCTTTTCATATTACAAACTAATTATAAATAACGCCAATTTCTAGGAATCTCGGATAATCTTTGTGCTCATTAATCACATTTGCACCGCAGCCTTTCATCAAGGTATTCAATTACATTTCACAGAAATATAACAAATCGGTACATTTTACTAAACTTTTAGGAACAAAACTGTAAACATGGTACCCTACAGAAAAACCTACAGAACGCAAACTATTTTTCACATTTATTCAACCATTTTTTGTGTTGTCACAGTCCACCTTGCTGGTACACTTCAAAGGAAAATCAAGATACAGATGATGTGCTTCTATCAGGGTTTCTGTTGACACTTTTTGCCTCAGTTAACATAAAAAAAGTTCACCTCCTGCTCCAGTTAAAGATGCTAACCAAGACAATAATCTGTATATATGCAAACCTTGCTAACATAAGAGATTGTCATTTAGGAACTGCCTTGGCCAGAGCTCTGAGTCTTTACAAGAGATAAAATGAAGTAATTTACATTCGCATACATGTACGTCAGTGGCATTGGAAGTAGTTTAATTTCTACTTTACAAATGTCCAAGTTTCGAATAAAGCAAAAAAATGAAGCTAACACTGTATAACAGATACGCACGATCTTCAGCTTGTTTTCTTCTAATACAGTCCATACTGGAAATGAGTGAAAAAGGCCATGGAAGCCACTGTATCTAGTGGTAAGATGTGAGAATGTTATATTCAGTTTATGAAGGTAAAAAAAACCAAAAAAAAAACCCTGCTGCTCGTACCTCCAGCTGGGATGAAGGCTGGATAAACATGAGCTTAAGTGCATCTTGTCTTTCTCCCACATGAGTAGCTGTCGTCTTACAGCCACGAGTCTCCTGCAGGCAGCTTCTAAAAAGGTTAAAACCTCCTTTTTCCTGCAGCTGCTCGTGTCTTATCCTTGTCCATCTCTTCTGTAATGGATCAGCGCTACTGGATCACTGAGGGATTCAGCTCCAGTAGGGAAGAGTTAGGGGATTACGAAACCCTTCTACCAGCGCATACACACCTTCTTGCTGCAAAAATCTCTCCCATAGTGCTGCTTGTGCGATCACTGTTGTGCGATTAAGACCCTGAAGAAGAGTTGAGCGTTAACAGCTGTGCTGTCAAAGTCTTATTTACATTATAATTACATTCAGATTTTTCAGTCACCGTCAGTTTACACATACACACAGCTCTACAGCAGGAAGATGAACCTGCTCTAACACGAAACTTTCATTCTATGATAATCTAATACTGGTAAACCACATCAGCACATGTTGTATAAAACATTAAAGCTACAAGTCTTCAGTCTGTTACTAAGAAAGACAGCACTGTCGAAAAGGCTCCATTATTGCAAGATAGCCTTTTCATCAGATCTTTCAGTAAATCCACAACTGCTGAAGAAACATAAACCATTATGGATGAACCATCTTCCAGTGCTGGAGATTTAAGATCCAAGTCTCCTCTGTCTTTACAGCATCGAAGCATCTCGTACTCCTCATTGGACTACATTCAATGGAGGAGAGAAACAATGCTCGTGCACTGATTATCACTTTCCCAGCCAGCAATCATCTGCTTTCCTTGATTAGACAGTGTGCTGCTCCAGGGAGGGCGGATGCTCTTTGGGTTCCTGAGGAGGTTCGGTTCTCTGGTCCGGCTGCTGCTCAGATGGAGGCAGCTGCTGCTGTTGCAGCAGATCCGGCTTTAAGAACTCCTTCTGTGCTGGTGCTGCCTGCTGTGGCTCAGGATTGGGCATCTCTTTCCTGTCGCTGGGCTGAATCTCCAGAGCCGGCGTGTCCTTGCAGCAGAAGTATTGCTGCCAGATTTTCCTGAAGGCCGTGCGGAACTTCTTAATGCGGAAAGCATAGACGATTGGGTTGACAGCAGAGTTGCCGTGAGTGAGCAGGATAGCGATATAGAGGAGGACAATAGGCTTCTTACAATTAGGGCAGAAGAGTGTAATGCAGTTGATGATGTGGAGGGGGAGCCAGCTGATGGCAAAGAGGAAAAGGACCAACGCCAATGATTTAGCAAGATTCAGCTCCTTGTCATAGTACTTGTTGGGGTCCGTGTGACTGCTGGTGAGCTTCTTGTTATTTAGCTGCTTGTGGATCATGTAGAAGATCTCTGCGTAGATGACCAGCATGAGCACCAGTGGCGGCAGCACCCAGCCAAAGAAGTTGAAATACACCATGTAGTCCATGCTGATGACGTTTTCAAACTGACAGGTGATGACAAGGTCAGAGCCGATGGAGCTGTTCTGCTGGAGGCGGTGCAGGTTGTTCCAGCCTAACATGGGTGTCAGGCCCACTATGAAAGCGACTGTCCAGCATATCACCACAGCCAGTCCTGCTCGTCGAGGGGTCACCACCTGCTTGTACCTGTAGGAGGAAACAACACGTCAGCACTTTCTCTCACAGCACTGTCGGGGCGTGCTTGCTTTCTGTTCACTTCATTTTTCATTCTGGCGGTGTCGTTTGACTGACAAATACGAATCGAAAGAAAAGAGTTGTCATTTTTAAGTACAAAGCCCCTAGACAATCTACACGCTCACACAGCTCCTTGCAGCTCGCAGCACATATTTCCACTTGAACAAGTCTCTGTAATCCCTTATGATTAAACCTTGCACTTCTCTGAAATGCTGCTTTTCATGCTTCTTATGTGCAGGGCAAAACTGACTTATAGTTGTTGAAATTGGTACAATGTTGACTACTTATTAATGACAACAGTGTTTTAGACAAAGGCTGCGATATTTAGCATGCAACAATGTGCTTTACAGGTTTGACTTTTCATTGTCGTGTTTTATAAGAAAACTTTCCTTTGACACAGAAATTACATAGAAACACTCAGCCTGAGGCAGGTAAGAAATATATGATTGAGCTCATTATGGAAAGTGTGTCGAGCCATGATTTGCTTGTTTTGAATTACTCATGTTTTCCATTGTCTGATGTATTTAAAAGAAGAGATGCTGTCCTTGCTGTCACAGGTAACATGTCTTGGATTCGTATTGATTAGGGATGTATGTGTTACTTTAAGTCTGTTACTGAAGCAGAGAGTGAAGATTTGTATTCACACTGTGACGACCGGCTCACAGGAGAGATACTGATCAATTTCCAGGAAGTGTGTGTTTTGAACATAAATGTAACTTCTGGGAAGGTAGAGTCAGCAGCAACTCCCCAGTGAGAACATTTCTGAGTTTAATGATGAATCACTGATGTTAAATACTGTGGCAGACACCATTAAGCCTGAATGATACAATTCATTATAAGACTAGAGTGTCAAAAACCCTGATAAAGTGCTACCATAAGCCTAGAGACTTAGAGGAGTCTATCAGGTCTAATATTCTGAGACAATAAATCCCCCTCCTTGACAATGCTTATCTTTTCTACCTTTCAGCACCACTGCTGGCTCTGTTGTTTCAGCCTGGCATGATAAAACCCTGGTGATCCTGTGCATCAGATACACAGTTGGAGATGGAACATAGTTGACAGCAAACGTGACCTCTTTTGTGCCCTCCAGAAACACAGGAAAAACACTCCTGCACAACATCATGAAAGGTTGAAATGAACTGATTCTGTCATTGTGATAGTGTTCAACAGTCTTCAGGACATGCAAAGGGACTAATTAAAGTGGTTGGTTGATCAGCCATGCTCTGCTTGGCTGTCATATCAGTAATGGTGAGTCAGAGACATCCTGTGAAATGAAACAGGACCCATGAGGACATCAGTGCCCAGAAACACAGAGCTGGAGCTCTCTGAGAAGGCTTTTCTGGGAAATAAAACATCACCACAAAGCACCTTATTTCAAGAACAAGTGACGATATATGTATCTCATCTGTACCTGGTCGGGATCTTGACCCTGAGATAGCGGTCGATCGCAATAGCCAGCAGGGCTAGGATTGAACTTTGCGTCAGCACCAGCACCGTGCACGCGACCAGAAGGCAGCTGTAAAAGTGAGTTTGGAGTCCGATGCTGATGGTGATGGCCAACGGGATGACGAGGGCTCCCACTGCAATATCCGCCAGGGCCAGGGACACGATAAAGCAGAAAGTGTTATCTCGCAACGACTTATTAATTTTCACCGCCCATACCACCATCACATTCCCGATTACTGACGCGACTGCAATCAGCACCTCCATCCCGATGTAAAGGGACTCCGCTGACAGAAGTGCTCCAGGCATACTTGCATACGATTATGTCCTTGATTAGAAAAAAAGATTGATTTCAGTGAAAAGCCAGAAGAGTAGTCCTTTAGGGTTTTTTTGTTATCACTATATTTCCATCGGAGCTAAGCGTCCAGCTGGTTCAGGGTGCCCAAATTCCTCTCCTACCATATGTAACTTACAAAGAGGAATCCTTCCATTACGATTGGAAGAGGCGCGTTATCAAGCAGCACGTCTCAAGATGAGGTGTTTTCCTTTTGTAGCAGGCGATGTTGTGGTTTGGCGTTTTGTCGTGCGTCGCTCCTGCTCTGTGCCCTGCGCCTCCACTTGGCTGAATACACCTGCTCCTAGTGAGCGCAGCATCCTTACCGTACGCTTCGATACATCCGAGAGGGCGCTTCCTCTGTAGGCTACGCGTTTGTTTTAAATAGCCTATAACAAGGCGGGTTGTAAATGAAGCGAACCATCTTGTGAATTAAAGCGCGCACATTTGCAGCTCCTCCGTATTGGACGCGTGCTCCCTTGTTCCCCTCGCCCTCCTTGCGCTTCCAGTAAAGGCAATAACGCAGTTGGCAAAAAACAGCTTTTTGAAATGTTCTCGCCTTTTTCTGTTCTGTCAAATATAGTCTATAATCTTGGTATTCATCTGATTTAATCTCTTTTCTTTAATGGGTGAGTCTGCTCCATTCCCATGCAGAGAAAAACACGCGGCTGTGGGACCGTCCCAAGGAAGTCAGGTGGTGCAGAGGTGCTTTGAACTCCCTCTCCTCGTCTATTAAAACGCCACGCATTACTTTCTCTCACGCCCTTTCATGTGCTAATGGACCTTGCACCGAAGCCCATTGTTCTGAAAAAGAGGTGAGGCGCTGAGCTGCCACAGCTGAGAGAGAAACATCGCAGGTATGGAAAGAACAGGGACCCATGCAGTGTCTGCATTCAATTCCTTCAGTGACAAAGGTCAAAGTAAACAGCGGGGCGTTTATGGAAGCACACACTGTGAATCCCTTGTCTTCTGTTATCTTATCTTAATTATGTTCAGTTTCAACCACCTCCGAGAAGCAGAGATCTGCAATACAAAAAGATATTCAGGTCATTCTAAATATATTCCTGTGAATCAGACTTCAAAGACCTCAAATCTGAGCCTGGGGCTAGCCCTATTCTTACAGCTAATGGGAAATCTATACCCGCAACACTAGAACCCTTATGGCTGATTTATATATATTGATCAGACTTTTACAAACTCATCTGCAGCTTCTTAAGAGGTATTTTGACTATTTTGACTTTGACATTATGAGCGCTGCCAACAGGACGCTACAGCAGAAGTGGCTTCTTGGGCTCCATCGCTGGGGTCCAAAGGTCAACAGTAGGCGCCACGTGCAGCTAGCTCTCTGACCCTGGGAGGATCTCATCATTCACATCGAAACAGGAATGACTGCGTGGTCTGCAGGTTTCACAGACTGTGCACAGCACATTCTCACTAACAGCTGACAGTCGACATGGGATGCAGTGAAACAAAACAATCACAAAACAGTGTAGCATCATAGCCAGCCTTAACACCAGGAGATCTTGAGTTATGGTCCGAGCTCCACTGGAGACAGTTTCCATCTGTTCTCAGCATCATGAGGTTTAGAGGTCAGCCAATAGACATGGAGGAGGAAGCAGCCATATGGTCTGCTCTGTGTGATTGGCATCAGACCTATAAATGTGGTTGCAATGTGTGAGAATTTAATCGTAGAGCAATAGTGCAGGGTAACAACCACAGGCAAATTTGACTGATAGGAGCGACTCTGATCAGTATCACCTGCAAAACCTCATCATGAAGTTTGCATACCCGGCACATTTTTAGTCCTCAGTCTGAATGAAATCCACTCACTTCAGAGTAGCAAAGGGATCTGTAGAGAGGCTTACTCCATCTATACAGGCTGCCATCTTCCTATTGTGTGTCTCCTTTTAGCAGCTTAGAGACTCAGAGGCAGGCGACACAGTCATGCTCAGCATGGCCAACACAGACCTCATAATGCTGTGTGTGCTTGTTCACAGTGAGTGTTCTCATTCAGGACATCACTGAAACAAGACAATGTTTGAGATATAAAAGCTTCTCTCTAAACCTCTGAAATAGCTTGATTTTTTTATTCCATCGAAACCTTTCTTGGATGAAGTTTGACAACCCTGAAGTGCTTCTATGATAACATTTCAGCCACACTATAAAGGAATGAGGAACTGCTTCAGTAAACGTGTCAGATTTTGTCTTATGTGGATGTATGACCAGTGAAGTGCAGTGTGCTTCACTTTTATTTAACGACGGACTCTGCAGTATAAGGGCCCTTTTTCTTCCTGCTCCTACTAGATGAGAGAGAGACCCTCTTATAGGCACAGGAAGAGTGTGATCCCTGACAGCTTGTTAAGCGAATCAACCTTTTTGTTTTGACACAGCATATTTCGTAAGGCTTCAACTTCCTCGTTGAGCTACAAAACACTGAGCCACATCCATATTCAAATGGGAAAAGAGCACATGGATCCTTATTCCCATAGTGTGCTGTCTGCTGATAGGTTCAAACACGATATTGCGCAGTCATTTAAAAAAGAAATCTTGGGATGAACTGCAGTGTTGTTCTATGCAGACTGCAGAACTATGCTGCAACAATGTAGGACTCGAGACTTGTTGACTCCCTCCAGGAAAACCGTTTAGCCATTACAAACAACACTGGGGCGTACAAGGACCAGGAATATAATTGCAGTGTTATTACAAGAGCCAATCCAGGCCAAAAACATTACAAGATGGATAGCCTTGGCTCTGTCACCCGGAAGCTCTTCAATGAAAATCCCAGATAGGAGGCAATATGAGAACACTGAGGCACTCGTGTTTATCCCCCAGACAAATCAACAAGCATCCTAACAGCATTTAAGCAATTATAGCTGCTGGGAATAAAGATGTGGCGCTCTGTAATTTACATGGAAATTCTTAAGGACGGGGCACTGCACAAAATCACATGTGTAGTCAAGCATACTAATCTCTTCCAAGGAAAGTCTTTAAACACAGCCATTGACCCTGCTTGTTTCCTTGACACAATGAATACATATGTCATCAAAAAAGTTGATATTGAGGTCATAGTGATCAGATGTGCTCAAGTTAGCTCATCTTAGGCAGAAAGAAATGCCTCACATTGTAAAAAAAATGAAGTAGCAACATATTCAATATTTCTTTTAAAGCTTTTGCATGTTTCTTCATCAAACATTCAAATGCCTGTTCATTTAAAGAAGTTTGCTGTCACTTAAAAATGTAACCATAACATTTTAAGGATTAAACTGTCACTCAAGATTGCCTCTTTATTATGTTTTGAAATGGAAATGTTAAAGACTCAAAATGTAATTTAACATGAAATGTGATGTAAAATTTTACTGATTTTTCCTGTTCATGAAATAGAAGAAATGCATGTAAAACACCAGAAATCTGGAGACATTTTAAGAATGTTCTCTAAAGTGCAGGTTAGAAATTATCAGATGTTTTTTAATTGTTAATTAAGTGTATTGGTATGCACAAAGTTGATTAATATAACATTTCTTGATTTCAAATTTCAATATTATTTTAACTTTACATGTCAGAGTTACATATTGCTCCTTAAAAATTAAATAATCCGAAAAAAAAATCTAAATTTGGCTTGTGAGAAGTCATATTATGTTGGAGTAAAATTGTAATGTTTTTACACGTATTAACCATTCATTTACCAATTATTTTAAATCTTACTTTCAGTACATGTGGTGATCATTACTATCGAGGCCATGTATGTTGACACAGAGGGATGCTGAACAAAATAAGTGATGTGTCTTTATGGATTGAAAAATTTAACAGCCTAGTGGATTTGTCATAATAACATTTCAACATTGTCCATCTGACCAACATTTAGGTTCCATTTCAATTATTACACTTAAGTTGGTTGGACCACTGACCTCATTGCAGCTCATTAGCGTTACATAATCCTAAACAGTGAATGAAAAGCACTTCCCTCAGAGAAAACAATGTGGACAGTCTGACTCTGGAGTAAGAGCTCCTCTCACATCTACCAGCTGGCTGACCAATGTCGTCCAGCCTACTTGGTGCTCATAGTGTGCCTGAGAAATTCACCACCTCACCACCTCATGAAAGTGCTGTTGAGCCAAAAGGGTGCAAATGAAAAATGTCAACAGCAGCCCAGGAAGCTGATAGTTGGTGTCATACAAATATCCCTCCCATGATCAATAGGATGCTTTGACGTCTTTCAGATGTACTTGTTGGTGAGTTTATAAAATAACATGATTTTACCAGCTATAGAAAGGAATTTAAAAAAATGCTGTCTATATTTTGAACAAAAAGAAGTTACTTTTTTCTGATTATGTTAAATTCCCAAGAAGGGGCGCAGATGACCCAGCTGTCAGGGGCAATCCATGTACAGAGGCTATAGTCCTCCAAGCAAACGCCCCGGGTTCAAGTCCAACCTGCAGCTCATTTCCCCGTGTCTTCTCCTCTCTCTCTCCCTCTGAGCAATATTCTACTCTATCCACTGCAGGGGCGTGTCCAGACTTTTTCGACTGGGGTGGCTCACCTGGGGCACCGACTTATTTAGGGGTGCCATGATGTCTGAGGACGCAAATTAATTAATTTTCTTTTTACCTTGTCTATCACTTTTGACCTTGTCTATCACGTCTAATGATATGTACTTGTAAGAAACACAATTTGGCAACATTTAAATCTTCTTAGCCTGATTCTTTAGGTGTTGTGTTTACAAATGCAATGCTTGTAATGTTTGTTCTGCGTACTTTGAATGTAGTTACACCTTCAGTCTTCTAGGGGGCGCAGTGAGACACCTTGGAGGATAGGTGAGACAATTAAAGGGTGCGTTCGAATTGTCCCTCCTATCTCCTTTCACTATCCACTTTACCTTAACCCCGGAGGCATTTAAGTGGCGACCATGATAAGAGCCGTTTGAATTCTCTAAAAGTTAAGGAAAGGTGGGTCAATGCTTCCTTTATAACCTCCTTTAGCATAGGATCCGACCGTTCACGGAAATTAACAATGATCGTAAAGTGACACAGATCATATAAGAGATAAAAAGATAAGAGACATTTTTATCCAGATGATGTTTTACTCAACATATTTCATTCACTTAAGAATGCTTTGTGCAGTTGTACATTTGTATGCTTAAAATATTATGTGTAGGTTATATCTTACTTAAATGTAACAATTAATTTCATACAATCATATTTATGTTGATGTTGATTTATGAGTGGACAGGAAGGTGATGGTTTCACTTTTGTTACTTGTAGCCTGGTAGTCTATATTTATTTTATTTCAATCCCAACCTTGTGGTGATTAGGATTATTTCACCGGCAAGAAGCCACAGGGGAAAGTTTTTTAGATGCGTTTTTTGTAGTCCATTTTCGGAACATTGTAGTTTCAACACGGCAGACCCACGTCATTAACCTCCACCGGCCCGTCGCATTTAATGACGTCGCCTAGTGGAAAATGTGGTCGGATTGTCAGAGCAACAAGATCGCCTTTCCCCAAGTCCTTTATGAATTCTTCTAACATCGTTCCTTAACCTCATGACGTTTTCGCGGGGTTAAGGTGAAGTGGATAGTGAAAGGAGATAGGAGGGACAATTCGAACGCACCCAAGGTAAAGGAAAGGAGAATAGATGTATGCAGGATTGAGTGCAGTGGCGGTTCTAGACCACTTTTACTGAGGGGGCCAAACTGGGGCCAGTTGTTTTGTCAGAGGGGAACATTAAACCCAGATGAAAAATAGACAAAGATGATCGCTTTAAAATATATTATGCTAAATAATAGCGCACATCATTAAATACCACAACATAAAATACCATGATTGATATTTGTTTCAGTAACAGTATTTAATACTAGATTGTGAGTCCGGTTGTTGAGTCAAATACTGTG